ATATAGATAAATTTATATTTTTATATATAATAATAAAAATAAACAAACAGTTAAAATTTTATACTTAAAAATAAAAGAATTTAACGAAAAAAAATTATTGCATATAATTTAACAACAACAGATACAAATCATTCTTTCCATAATAAATTTATGACAATTTTAACACTTTTAATGCAAGCTTTTTAAATCTTTGTTTAAATTGTGCACAAAAACTATAAAAAGTAATTTAGCAAGTGTGTTGCAATGTTTTTGTTTTCAATATAGTATAACCCATTCATTACTACATTAATAACCCGCAATATATATCAAAGACATTTTTGTAACCTCAGAAATCGATGACTCTGGTTTTTCTAAATTGTCAAATATTTCATTTCCTGCTTCACATAAAACATGTGCAAAAAGCACACTCATGACCTGAGTTATCAAGAATGTCTGAATGTAAAGATAACAACAGTGATATGTAATTTATATGCAATTTGTTAATAGTTAAGCATTTAATAGTTGGCACTCCGGAACATACTATTCAAATGCTCAACTTTTTGAATTGTCTCAACTTCCGAATTTCTTTTTCTAAATGGTCTCTTGTAAACATAAAAGTAAAACATAATTATGACAAGTTGCTGACAAATTTTTACATATTTCGAGAATACCATAGCTAGTACGGTAATTTGATTTTGTATCAGTATCATTTAATAACTGTTTTTTTGCCATTTTTACAAGACATTTTAAAAGCCATATTACCAAACTGAAATATAGCATAAATAAGGCATTCATAAAAATTACAAATAGGTGCTTCTAGTTGATCATTGTGTCTTACATCAGCTTTACAACCTTTTTAACATTCAAAATTTTCTTTAAGATTTTCACTTTATTTATAAATATTGCAGTATGTTTAAAGTTTGAAATTATTTAAGAGTAGATCAGGAAGACACGATATTTCTTATCTGAAAACACTTTAAGGCAAGTAGACACATTTTATCTTTCAATTGACTCGGGAATCTTGCAATTTCATTCAAGTCTGAAAAATTGACTAATCTTTCTAATTCTAATTGATATAAGCATTTAAGGTATTCCCATTTACCTATTCTTTGAATACCATTATCACTGTACACAAGTTTCCCATTTACATTTTTAAAAGATAAAAAAAGTGTAAAAGTAATTACTTCCGATCTATTTTTCAAGGTTTAATCCAAGCATTTTTAAAATTATATTCTTTTGAATAAAACAATATAACTTTAAAAATGCTTGGTTTATTCAACTACTATCACAGATAACAACTTTTACATTACCAGATAATGATTTTATTAGTTTTATGCTGAAGTTTGTTTATTGAAACAGAAAATTTTGACTTAAAATTAAAGTTAAATAGGAATTTAGAATCACCTTTAAGACTACAATCATAATTCTCATGAGACTACAATCATAATTCTCAACGCAGTTTAAGCAAAATATGTTAAATCATCTATAGATTTACAAAATGTTGTTTCACCATGGTAAAGCATCATTATTTTGAGATGTACTTCATAAATAATTATACAAATTTTTTTATTTTTTTTCAATGTTTTTAAAAACTGAGTCTAACAATCTAGCGTCATTAATTTTGCAAGCTTATGATGTAATACGTGTCAAAGTACTTAAAGATGGTAATTAGAAATCATGTTTTAGTTTAATTTAGAAAGCACAAAATGCTAAAAAGTATTTGAAAGTTCGTATAATATAATCTGGTTCATAATTTTATTCGTAATCAGCTTTACAGACATAATTGATATTTGTTGCTGAGTGATGTTTTTTTTATGATCTTTTTCCATGACAATTAAAAAATGTATAATTACCTCAAACTAATACAATATTTATACAACTTTTATAAAATATTCTATTCCACTACGAAATTCTCAGAAAATGTAACAAGAAATAGAGAAATAAAGCATAAAATATAATAGAATGAATAATTTTTTTTTTAATCATATGCGTTACTATTGAAACTGAATATGTCCTGAGATTATTTAATAAAACATTTTAAAAATCAATATTATTTGCTATAATACAGCTGACAAAAAACATTTAAACACGTTGGCCGAACGTTATGAACGTTTGGGCACGTTCTGCAAACGTTGTGTGAATGTTCTCTAAAGTTGTGCATATAAAACTTAAATTTAACGTTTAAGAAACGTTTCTTCAACGTTCTTTAAGGTTCGCGTAACATCGCTGCAAACGTTAAGTTTGGGAACTTCTATTTACAGTTCTTTAACGTTTAATACAAACGTTCAAACAAAAAAAGCAAACGTTTTCCTAATGTTCACTGCAAACGTTCTTTTGATAGCTCTAGAATGTTCACCTTTAACATGCAATAAAAAGTATGAATGTTTATCCAAGATTTTTTTTTTTTTTATTTTGTTTCAATTTTTTAACTAAACGCAGATACGTTTAAGATTAAACATTTATGCGTTTATTAATTTAGACTTTCTGTTAAAAGCTAAAGTTTCCAGCCTTTCTTTAATGTAATCCTTTTTTGAATATAGGTAACCATTATTTATTTAAAAATTAAGCACTTAATTAAAAAATTATATACACTTATCAACCAATTCACCATGTTTTACAACTAAATTACAAAAGACTAGGAGCTAAATAGCATTTTAACCAGGTTATATGAGAGTGGCCGTTTATATTATTTAAGAACATTGGTATGATATTTACTTAACAATATGTTGTTGTTATTTTTGATGACTAAAATTTGAACTTGCTGTTGGTCTTAATATCTGACTAAAAAAAAAAAAATTATGAGCAATATTTTACTTTAAATAAGGTAATATTGCTTGTTTTAAGATATATAATTGAAACAATATGTTTAAAGATGAATAATTAAAAAATTATGTTAAAATAAATTGTATTATTAAATAGTATTATAAATGTACAATTTTGTCGTATAATAAGTATTAAAGTTATATACTTTTTAAATATGTATATAGTTTATATAGATGTTATATTACAAGCATAACTATTATTTAGCCTTGTTGGCTTGTTGACAGAAGTTACATATGTTTTGTTTAATAAATTTTTACGTTAAAACTTTTCGGTTCTGTTTTTAATGAAGTATATTATATTAACATACTTAAAAATAGTTAAAACGAAACAGAATAACATTCATTATTAGTATACAGACCAAAGAAAATGGCAGGTAAATTATACTATCCGCAGTAAAGCAACAATCAAAGCGACAACGATACTGAAATATATTTATTTTCAAAAAACTACTTCATACTGTACCAGTCCAGATGTCAAGCAGCTGTTATTTTCAAGTTACTGCAACTTGGAGAAAGAGTGTCCTATTTAATCTGATGAGGAAATAAAAACAGTTCATCAATTAGCTATCGATTACAAATCCGCCTTGTAAATTGTTACAAATACTAGGTCGTCTTGAAAAGGACAAATTAGACAACTTATTTGATTTGGAAAATACTCTGAATATAAACGGGATATTTGTTTGGCGCAAACATTTTACTTTAGTTATAACTAGGAGTGTTTAAACTATTTTTTATAGAATATAGAAATTTTTATTGTTTTTTATTTGTTTGTCTCTCCATTGACAACATTTTAACCACAATAACTACAAATACTTATATTACATCCATACATATATTACGTACATACATACATACATATATTATGTATGTATGTATCATTAAAAACACTCCTGCCTGCCTGTCAAAGACAAAATTAGATGTGTTTTTGCTAATTTATTATTACTCTGTTATAACACTCTATTTTTCAAATACACTAACATATTTTATATATATATATATATATATATATATATATATATATATATATATATATATATATATATATATATATATATATATATATATATATATATATATATATATATATATATATATATATATATATATATATATATATATATATATATATATATATATAATATATATATAAATGTGAAATCAACCTGAATTACAAACGAAAAAATGTTCAAAAAACAAACAAAAATTATACATATGTTACTTAAAACCAAAAATAATTGAAGTAAAGTTTTCAACAAGAATTATGCAGTTACAGTCAACAGTAGATTTGCACAAAAAATTTCGCTATATTCCAGTCAACAGACGACATTTTAAATCAACTTCAATTAAAGGAAAAAAAATTACGTTAATTTTAAAAGCCTTATAAAGTGATCTCAAGACGAGAATTTATCTTGTAAACAATTGTTTTAAAATGTTTATATGTAATAACCTCAAAAGAAAAATATTGTATTAAAGAAATTTATATTAACGATATAAATTTTAAAATAATAAATATATTTTGTCAGAAAAAACATTTTTTATTCATGTTTTATTTAATAGTCTGTACTTCAAGAAATTATCTTTAATGGTTAAATTAATTTTATTTTTAATGGTAATATGAGGCATGTGCAAACAATTTATAAATTTTTAAATTATGTTACTTTTCTCAAAAAAAAATCATTTAATCAATTTTAACTTATGAAAAAGATAACACAAAAAGTCTAATCGAAAAAGGACTACAACGTCATCACCACCTTTAGCATTTTTATAGTGATCTATGGTCACACAATGAATTTGTTTTCTAGTGCCAAATTTTTCACATTTGCGACATAACTTTGTCTGCTTATACAACTTAATTTAAAATAATTTGTTAAAAATTATCTTTTTGAATTTGTTTATAAAAAATTTAAAAGATTACTAAACATATCAAAGATAAAATAATATTTTATACCATTCCAAAAACAAAAGATGTTAAACAATTTCTTGTTGTTTTTTTAAAAAAGATTAAATTATAAAACTTGTTAAACTTAAAGAAATTGAAGTTTAGCAAAAAAAACTTACTTGCATTAAAAAATCTACGATTACCAGAAATAACTTACTTTATTAATAATAAAGAAAAACTTTCTATACTTTATATCATGTGTTAAACACATGCAAAAATATCTAAAAAGACTCACAACGCAACAGCGTTTTAGAACTTACTCATAATAGAATGCAGAAGTAGAGGTTCTTTATAGAACTTTTTTGAGGAATTCAGGTTAACAAAATACTTTATTAAACTGTTATTGTTTTTATTGGCTAATCCACATATCATTGATAAACAACTCTCCAGCTTCTTATTGGCCAAAATCTCATCACTACTTAAACAATTATATGCATATACAGATGCACAAAACTCCATTATTGTCAAATGTGCGAATTGATAATAACAACCCAGATCTGATTCAATCCTTTCTATAAATCCAAAAAAATCATCTTCGTTTTTATCATGATCAGTGAGGAAAACTTGAATTTCATCTTTAGAAAAAATTACTTTATTTTTAAGAAACAATTTATATGCAATTTTACAAATATCTAAAATATATTTTTTATTGGAACTGTCTTCCATGAACTCATGTATCAATTCATTGTTTTTAACAGTTTGTTTTTGCATAAAATATAGAAAAACATTTGCATACAAATCTGTTATTGTTGAGAAAGAATCTACTTTTTTTAAATCACTTATAATTTTAATCATTGACGATAAATAAAACGGAACAGATGCCATTGCGCTAGCAATTTGAGATTCCTTTAAAGTTGTTTTTACAGTTTCCTTATTTATTTTCATATCGTGATTTTCAACATAATTGTTTATTCCCTTTTCGTTAAACCCCATTATTTGAATGGTTAACTTATTGCTATGTTTTCTTGATATACTTTTGTATTGATCTAATGCATAAACTCTACCAGCAATTACATGTTTGTACTTTTGAACATCTTCTAAAGCAGTAACAATTGGGAATTTAGTAGTCAAACTTGGATTTAATAACTCATTAAAATATTTAAATTCATCTAATCCATCAATTATAAACAGCGCAGTGTGACTATTAATGACAAAGTTGTTTAGAATATCTTTGTAGAAAACATTTAGTAATTCGTTAATATTAGAAATATTTGGATATTGATTAAGTCTCCTACATTCCAAATAAAATACAAGTTTAACATTTTTCCAAATTAAATTATTTGACCAATTAAGCAAACATTTTCTAAGCAACCATGTTTTCCCAATACCAGCTATTCCAGATATTAACAAAACTGATTTTTCCTTTGTAAATATTTCACTATATAGAACTGGTGTATAATATATTTGCTTTTCAAGAAATATCTTTCCTCTAGCACTAAAAACAGCATTTACTGAATGATCCTTATGAACATTCACTGCTTCAACAATGCATAGGTCAACAAACTTTTGTAATAGATCAATTTCTGCAGACGTTTTTAATAGTGGTTGAAGTTCATCAATTTTCCCATAATATTCAAGATAAAACTTTTTTAGTTCAGCCGATATTCTCAACAAATCTAAATAAAACAAAACAATTTTTAGTAAATGATTCTAGCAATAATTTTGGTGATGTTCACTATGGTATGATGATCATTACTTGATAATTATATGCTTGATAATAATCTTTTAACAAATATAATATTTCTAAATAAATATTAATGGATTTTTGTTGATTTAAGCTTTAAATTATTTTCAACAAACTCTTTATTTAAAGTTAATACTATTATTTTTGATAAACTTTTTATTTGTTATCATTGTCTATATTTAACATTTTTTATTAGCTTATAGTATTACTTTTAACAATTTTCTTTATAAAAGCTTTTACTTTATTTTTCGCGCACCTTCTTTGTTTATCAAGTTTCGTGTTTGAAGTATAATTACTGTGAGACGGTTGTAAAACAAAAACGGTGCAAAAAAGGTTGCCTCATCAACTGTAGTTGTTTCCTTTGCCACGGAGAGATCAGATAAAGTTAAACAATTTTATTAGATTATTTATGAGTTAATGTTGTCATATTTGACAAAAATTTTTATTTTTTATTATCTTTCTTAGGCATAATGTTGTTCGTTCATATACAAACCTTAAATTATAACTGAATAAATTTTAGTCATTACTTAAAACTTTTTTTTTAACTATTTCTTAGGAGCTTTTTAATAAGTATTGTATGAATTTTTGAAATAATTTTATTAAAAATAAAAAAACTTAAGCTAATCCTCTGCAAAACTTAAAAAAACGATAAACATTAACTTTAAAAACATTAACATCAAGCAATTAGAGATAATAAAACGGCTCATAGAAGGTTAACATAAGGTTCATAAATCAATTAAAAGCCAAACGTGGTGTTCCTTTATATTTAAAAACTTATTTTAATCAATTCAATATAATGTTTTATTTCAGCTATATCACAACAATTTTTTATTTAATTTATTTTAGTCAACTAACGATAATATCGAAGGCCAAAGTCACCGGGGAGGCCAGAGAATACGTGCCCTTCCCATTTTTTTACAAAGGGACCTTTTTTTTTTTTCTTTTTTTTTTAAGAAAATTTCAGATATGCAAGACTTTTTTTCAAATTTACGATTGTGATCACACCCACAACAGAAAGCAATGAAGTGAGTGAAAGAAGTTTAAAAAAGAAAGAAAAAAAGAAGTAGAAGTTCAAGAAAGCAGTTTACAATAAAATAATAAAGTAAGTAAACTTTATAAGTTAAAACATGAAAGTGAGTAAAGATTCCAAACGATATCCAAAGGAGAACTCATTATTTACGGAAAAATACTAGATGAACAAAAGTTTTTGAAAATGAAAGAACTGTCAAAGCTAAAGGAATAAGTATCGCAAAAGTTACGATTGGTAGTAATATAAATAGAAGTAAAAAATAAATGCCACCTGTCAACAAAGAGACAAGTATAATCTTGGCAACAAGATAAGAACTCAAATACGAAAAACAGTATTCAATATGAACAAGTGATAAAAAAGAGTTTTGAAATTTTAATAAACTAACATTTTGAATATAAAACTTTAAATCATTATTATCTTCAAGTACCTGATATCATACTAAGTAGGAATATAAAAAAGGTTTGAACTACTTTTACATTTAAAACCTTTTTTGACACTAAAAATTAAGTAAAAAAGAAGAATTTATTTAAGAACCACTTTTTTCTTATAGTTCAGACCTAGTAAGATGTGTTCTATTGACTTAATGACTTCAGAGGCCAATACCGTGTAATTAAAATTTTAACCAATATAGATAATGTATCCAATATCGCAAAAAACTTATTGTAATCCATTTAACACCGACATAAATAAGCTCACAAGAAAGTAGCAGATAAATTTAGATGTTTTAATATTATTATTTTATAACATAACAAAATAAAGTTTTAAATAAATATGCAAGACAAGCATTGTGAAATTCAACAATTTAAAAAATCTGAACGCAGTTACAATAAAAGAGCCAAAAATTATGATTAGATAAAAATGAAAAAAATTAGATAAAGTTTAAATATCGTATCTGGGATGAAGCTCTGCCAAACTTGTAAAAAAAGATTACGAGCAGAAAAGATTACAGAAAATGCCAGAAGAGCAAAAAAGTCAAGATGAGCAATATGATTTGGACTTTATATCTTTATTAAAAAAAAAAGATAAAAGATCAACAAAGATTTCCAAAACTTTAACATATTCTGCAAAATCTAATTCAAAATTATTAAAACATACAGTCTAAGAAAAAAGCAAAATGTTGCACACAACATAACTAAAAAAATTAAAAGTTACTTCATTGTTCCTACAAAATCGAAGCAAATATCACAAAAAAAGAGGCTAAAGATTTTGATGAAATTATATGGTTGATAGAAAAAGAACGTTCTATGTTCAACAAAAGAACTATTGTTCAATATCTCACACTGGCACCACTAAGTTACTTGAAGTTAAAAGTAAAAAATTTTTAGCAAAAAAAGGTTATAAGCTATTTCTCCATTGTATGCCTTAAAAAAAATTTAAAAGATTTCCTTTAAAAGTTTTATGATTCAAGTGTTTTTTTGTCAAACTATGCATGCATAAAAAATTATAAAAGCATTGTGAAAAACATTTGTAAAAACAAAAAAAACTCCTTTTGTATAGTTAATAGGAACTATATCTGTTATACAAAATAAGTATTCCAGATGTACAAAAAAACTACTCAAAATAACTTTCATTTTAAAATAGTGAATTTTGTCAGGTGTAGATTATAATCATGCTATTTGTGTTTTTTCTTATAACCAAAACGCAACACTGTTAGCGGATGCACTATGACAAGAAAAACATGCTTGTATAGCCGATTTTGAAATACAGAGCTGGAAAACTCAACAAACTACTTTACATCCAATAATGATATACTATAAAAACAATGAAGGTGTACTTGAACATATATCTTACTGTTTTATATCAGAAGACATTATACACGATGTAATATTTTTGTGCAAAGTAGTTCAACTAATCTTGTGCAAAACAGTTCAAATAAAAAACATTTACTTATTGATAGTTGTGCATGACAGTAAAAAAATTATAAAGCGTTTGCAATCATCAAGGAAATAATTTATCTTTAAAACTATAGCTCTATATTTTTTTATTTATTCAAACTTTTACGAATAAAAAAATATATAGATCAAAAAATGCGACATTACCAGAAAAAATATAGTTTAACAACTAAATATAGTTTCAATGTTTTTATCTCTAAAATAATAATATAAAACAAAATGTAAATATTGCTTAGCGTTTAAAATTTATAGCTTCTTAAAGAATAAGATTTGAGAATTATTTTGTAGAATAAAAGACACAAAATTTATTTAAACATCAAAGTGACAAAATAAAATTATAAGAAAACCTATTTTACTATTAGAGCAATTTATAGTTTAACTTATTTAAACAAATTCATAATACTTTTTATTGCCAATTCAGTAAAAGGAAATAAACAGTAAAAAGTAAAAGTAAAGGAATAATAAACGACGCAAAAATAGAAGTTAACTTCACAAAAAGAAGATTATTATTTAAAATAATAAAATGTATGTACATATGTTGATTAATAATGTATAAATAATCTACAGTAATTAATTAATTTACTACTATTATCGGTTTCTAATTTAAAGAAACTTTATTAGAAGAAACTTAATATATTTTCATTTAACAAAAGAAATTGCTTAAAATTTGTTTTAACTGACAGAATAATTAGTTTTCAGTTCATAATTTAATATTATGTTCCACAACTTTGGTCCTCGATTTACAATAAAGATGTTTTAATGGCGGAATAGTAAGTTTTGGATTGAATGTAATTTTATTTTGAAAATCTAGTAGGGTATATGTAATTTATTTAAGATCTATAATGTATTTTTATGAAGTTTGAACATGAAAATAAGAATATAATAGAGGTTTAGTTTTTATACATTTAGGATAATAAGTTCATTAAATAGTGTTTGTGTGTGTGAGAAAAGATCTACGTTTAAACCTATCCTTATAGTCTGTTTTTGTTTGCTTACCAATTTTTTTATTTTGGCCGCATCAGTGCTCCACCAAGCTATGTTTGCATAACTTAAATAGCAATGACTGAAAGAATAGTAAACATTTTTAAGCAATATGGATTTGATAACTGCCCAGCCCTGTACATAATATCTAAAATTTTCGATACTTTATCTTCAACTTCATATGTATGTTTTCCCCAGGCTTTTATTACTCAGTCAAGTTCATGCACCGCATATTACGCGCATTAAAGATTTTTTTTTTTTTTAAAAAGTTCAATTTTTTAAAACTACATTAATTCACTGATGGTTGTGCATGACAGTTTAAAAGTTGCAAAAAATGTTTTAATCATAAAGAAAATGATTTATCTTTAAATAATGTTTTATATGTTACTGCTGTTTTCCAATTAAATCTTTGGTAAAATGTAAACTTTTAAGTAACTAAAAGTATTGATATCAAAAAATACAAAGATTAATGGCGATGTTTTGAGATATTGTGCACTAAACTGAGTTATATAAACTTGGTATTTTAATAATGTCTCTTTCTAATTTCAGCACTTTAATCATTCTTTAAATACATCTTTTTGTTATTGATTCATCAAATGTATAAAATTCTATCTTTTCGTGAGTAAGTGTTAACTTTTTGATAATTATTGTACTGAAAGAACTTCCTTATTTTTCATATTTTAAATTAAATTAAATACGTTTAAACGACAATTATTGAAACAAAAGCTCTGTAATTATCTAGTAGAAACTTTTGTGATAAGTAGACGTATAATTACTAATAAACAAGAAGAAAATATAAAGAGATGCATTAAACTGTATTGTTACGGCATAGACATTTAGAAACAACTTTTAATTTGCGTAATATTACGGCATTGACATGTAGAAACCACTTTTGGTTTGCGCAATATTACGGCATGGACTGTTAACGGGATAAGCTATTGCACTTAGAAGTCTAAAAAGTCAAATATAACACAGACCTTTCCAGGAAAGTTGTGCAGTTGCATATCTTGTTTGTCCACTCAAGAAACAATGAATTAGAATATTTTTTTAAACTTAAAAAACAGTTCAAGAAATATAGTAATAAACTTTTTTTGTTGAAACTCTCAAAATGATAGAAATATAACACTAAACTTAAGCAACAATACTAAAACAGAACAAAACAAAAAAAACCTCAAGTAAATTAGGCTAAAACCTCTTGATGAGTTTTATAAAAATTTAGTTTGATTCAATTGGAACCTGGAAAGGTGACCACTTTGGAATGGTTCATATTGACTGAGTTGTATTAAATATTTCCTAATATCTTAATCTGTTTTAACAACATGTTGCTTAGTGCATTTTATTTATTAGTTAGCAATAATTTCTTTAATATTATGTATTAAAATTTAAGCAACAGATGCACACCGATGATAGAAAGGTAATTCTAGATAAAATCACTCAAAATTTATGAAGCTTAGAACAATTGGTCCTAATACTTTTTTCAAACTTTGTAGGCTGTTGCATGTTACAAAGAAAACTTTACAAAAAAAAATTAGTTCAAAATGTTGTAAAGTTCCTGAGATATTTCAATTTGAATAACAACCTAGTTTCTTATATTGACTAGCTTTTCAATAGGTGCAAAATATAAGAATAAACATGTATAAAGGTTTTTTGATGCAGAAATTTATATATGGACTTAAAATGCTGAACTATGAAAGGACTATAAAAATGAAGCTTACAAATTAAAAAATCTACTTATTAAATAATCTAATTATAATTTTTTGATTAAACAATTAAAAAAAGCTTGCTAAGAGAATTCTGACTGTACAACTGTTTTTTGGTTCTTCTGTCAATTATTTCCTTGCATTTTAGCAACATTTTTATTTTCTGGTTGATTTCAACATAAATGGGGGATTGCCTGCAGCCTTGTTAGAAGTAAATTTATTAAAAATAAAAATGATTAATAATTAAAAAAAAACTTTTACGAACTGAGATAATTGATGTGAAATGAATATATATATATATATATCTCAGTGAAAACCTATATTAAAGTTGTTTTTTATCAAAATATTTGATAAACTTTAATGAACAAAATTAAATTTTAAAATTTTATATAGTTGTTTTAAAACATGTGCATATTATTACTTTAGAAGAGTTTCCTTGAAAAATTATGTAATCGTTACATCTGATTTCTACAGTGAAACTTCACTACTATTGCAGTTACAATAACCAAAAACAAAAATGTGAAAATGTATCTTTATTAAAAAAAAAGCCTTATGTGAGTGATTTAAAAAGCTTTTGTTTTTAAACTTGTTCTACTTCATTTACAAGCTAAATTAGTGGACGCTTTTAGAGCAGTGGCTACTTGTTTTGCAAATGTTTTTTGTAGAAAAATGTGTTTTTAAATTTTTTTTTTTTTTTTTTTTTTTTTTTTTTTACAAAGGGTTTTTATTATTAAATTTGTTACAGGCTTAAAATATAAAAAAGAGACAAAATCTAGTTAGTCATAAATGTTAAACAATAGAAACACATTATTCATTACAGAGTAGGGTTTCTTGAAGTGAGCTGTTAAAATAAAGAGTTATTTATGATTGTTTCTTAAAGTTAAACAGTTTTAACTAATACTGATACAACTAGGAGTAATAAAAAACATAGTGAATTCATTTTATCTTTTTTTTTTACTGCAAAACAACTTTAAAAAATTAAAGTAAAAACTAACCCACATTTAATAATTTAACATAAAATGTTTTTTCTATTTTTAAAGCAAATAAAGCGTATTGAGCATACAATTTTCACTTTGTTTAGGAATACGGTAAATGTAATAGAACTTTAAGTAAACCAATAAAATTAGTTACCTTTTTTAGAACAAACTTTGGAACTTTTTTTTGGTGAACTTGTTATCTCTAAATAAAATAAATTTCTTTTTTAATTCAAATAAGTTTTTACTTTAAAGTTTTTACTTTTAACATAAAACTTTAATTAAAAACATGGAGTTGAAAAAAATAAATAAATAAAAATGTAGATTTTAGAAAATAATAACAAATATTTTTAAAAGTGTTTAACTCGTTCCCAGAAGGTTTAACTACAAATGTCTTTTCATATATTTTTTTTCCTCCTGAAAAACTAAAAAAATTTGTATAAGTTTTAGGAAATATAACAAACTAAGTATGAAACTTAAAAAACTCAAAGAGCAGTAACCAAGTGGAAAAAAGCAGAGCAACCCCAGAACAAAACAAAAACAGATAAAGCTGCACCCAAAAATAAAGCTGCACCCTGGTTGTAGGTACAATTACAGTAGCCTCCTTGACTACAGTGGCCTTCTTGGTCTTGGTCTTACATAACAAAATCTCTACACAAACTCAGAAAAATATGTTAAAAGAAAAAAAAGCACAAATTTATAAATGCAGAAACAAAGTGAAGAAATAAGGAAGGTAGCCTGGAGGACTCAGTACGTGCATCAACCAATTTTGGGATAACATAAAAAGAAGAACCGTTACATCAACAGAGATTTGAATTGAGCAGGACGACGGATTAGAAAAAAAAATTTTAATTATCTATTTTCTCATTTTGCATCCGACAAAAGATTTATTTTTACAACAAACTTGTATTAGTAAAGTTTTTAAACTATTTTATAAACATTATTACAATATTATTTAGGTTCTCTTATTTTTAAACTATACTTTTTAGTTTATATATATATATATATATATATATATATATATATATATATATATATATATATATATATATATATATATATATATATATATATATATATATATATATATATATATATATATATATATATATATATATATATATATAGAGGGGCTAATTTTATCAACAGCTGTAAGAAATTGCAATATTAAAAAGTAATGTTGAACGCTAATGTCCTTGTTAGTGCATTTAGAGTGGACTGTGGATATTGTGAACTATGGAGGCTAGAGAAGAAGCTATAACTTACGACTTTGGGTAAACTAGCAGGACTAAGATAATTGCTTAGCTAAATCCTTGGGATGCCAGGATCTATCTATGAATAAGGCAAGTTATGTTTAAACTTTAGTAATACCTCAAGTAACCTAAAATATTAAACAAAAATATCATTCCCTCCACCCAATTCCTATATTAAGTACTCGAAAGGAGTTAATATTTTATGGCCAAAGTGCACGAACTTGTTTTTGTTTGCATTTAGCTCCATGAGCCGGGACTTGGTCCAATGAAAAATTTGGTCGATATCTGATTGGAGTTGACAATGCTCAGAATTTTAGTGTTACCAGCGTAGATCTTACAACTGTTTTCTTTGTTTTATTTTATTACATCAACAGATAGTTGATGAAAATGACAAATAAAATTAAACCCAAGACTGATCTTTGCAGAACCCCACTTGTCACAGGTAACCAATTTAATTGAGTGTCATCAAGGATGACTCCTTGAAACCTGTTAAGTAGAAAAGCTTTTATTCAATTGAGAAGATTGCCTTCAATTCCGTTAATTTTTAGTTTGTACACCATTTGTTGATGTGGCACTTTTCTAATGCTTTAACAAAATCCAAGAATATGACGGCAACTACTAGTTTTCTAGCCATATTTCCAGTCAAGAAGTCCATTGTTTCAAAGAGATTTGTAAAGCATGCTTTATTCTTTTAAAAGCCATACTGATCATTTGATAGAAGAATGTTTAATTTTAGATGGTACATGATTGCCTTTTTAACTAGTTTCTCTATTATTTTATATGGAATCTAGGTGAGAGATATTGGTCTGTTTGATGGGTCGATTCTGGAGCTCTACTTAATTAAACGTATTACATTTGCTTTGGACCATGAATTTGAAATTTCACCATTTTCAAATGACTTTTTAAAGATGAGAGTAAGTCATTTAGATATATCTGGTAATAAGAGTTCCATTAGAGTGGCTTGAGTGTCAAAAGTTATGCTGTTGAGGATTGTGTTAGTTCTGCAATGAAAATAGGGAATATTGTCATTGAATTGATCTTTGCTAAAAACGGCATGAAATTGATTGTTAATTGAGTTAGCTATTTTAACTTTTTCAGAGCTAATGACTTCACTGGAACTGGTGATTCGCATAGATGAGATCTGATTTATTAAAGAGCGTTAACTATTTATGTATAAATATAGTTTTATAGGATTGCGCTTATCATTTACAAGTGCAATTTTATAATATTTTAGAAAAAAACGACTTAATTTTTAACAAACTCTCTAGTTTCTTTATATTCCTCAATTAGGGATGTGATTTTTCATTTTGAACTGATGTGAGCCCACAGCGATTTTAAAGACCAATCAGAGATAAAAGCTATTTTGTCATCCCAAGTTGTTTTTTCGGGAATGGTTTTTTTGACATACGAGGGATCAATAGAAGACAACAATTACTGTCTTTGTTTAGCCAAAGTTAGTAAAATTGTTTTACGTTTAAGCCTTTAAAAATAGACAACCAGTCATCCTTATTGAATTCTTGGTTGATTTCTTCCCAATTACTAATGTTGTAAATAAATTTAAAGCTGTTGAAATGCAATAATTTTTGGTGGAAGCCAGTTTGTATTGCTAGGTGACAGAGCAATGATATTGATCACGTTGATTTCGTTACACGATATGGAGAGTATCACATATTATGAGATCAATTGTGTTTGTAATAGAGAGATTAGTAGGTTTAAAAGAAGAGACAGTGATAATTTGATAAAGATAACAATTTTGAAGAAGGAAGACAAGCGAAAAACTGAGTGATTTTAGAAGAGAAGAAGACTGAATTGAAAGTTCAAGTAATCTCTGGAAAATTGTAGCTACTGGCAATGAGGATATCATTTTATTTTTCGGTATGTACTGAAGTTTCGGCATAAAAAATAGCACTTGAAATCTCTGAGTAGGCTTCAATACCAGAAGATGGAGGTCTATAAATGCAGTCTAGGAGCATAGTTTCATTCAAAAGCGTTAGTTCGAACCATAATTGTTCTGAATAGTAACGAATAAAATTATTTTGTTGTAGGGATTCATATCGTTGGTTTGAGATAATTTTATTGTTTGTGTATTTGTTCTGTATTTTATTGTTTGTGTATAGGTACACCTCCTCCAATTTTGTTCAGACATTCTGAACGACAGAGGTTGTAGTTTGGAAGAGAGGGAGTTGATGGGTTTTTCAACCAGGTCTTGGTGATAAAAGTAATGTCAAAGGAGTTGTTTTCTACAAGTAAGGGAGTTCGATGAGTTTTATTGGATTGAGGGAAGTTGCATTAGTGCAGGAGCACAAAAGATTAGATAATTTAGAAAGTTTAATGGAATAACTGGCCTTGTTTAAAAATGTTGAACTAGTAAAATGCTGAGAGCGATTGAACAACCTCAGCTCCTGATTTCCATATTAGGAATAGATCCTCCTTCTTCCATTAATGTTGACCGTTTGGATGTGTCAATGAATTTATTTTTTTTGATGTGGATGATAAATCAGAAGAACTTGTTAAGTAAATCGTTTGCCAATAGTTCTGCATTCTCGGTAGAACACTCTTTGTTTAAGTTATTGAAAATCTCTTGGTCTAGAGGTGCACGGTCTGCACGAATGGAGACAAATTTCATTTCGTCTATTGAGGCAAGTCGTTTTATATTAGATAAGAGGTCATTGCGGTGCTCATTGGAGTCAAACTCAAAGATAGTCAATTCATTTGGTTTAGCTCCTATTGTAGTTAAACTGGTAGTATTGATGAACTTTTTTGAGAAATGCTCACTTACTTTAAAAGCGACATTGTAGTTGAGCTTTTTAAGCATACTTTAAAGTCAAATTACCCTCTGATTTTTGTCATAGGATTTTAGAGAACCGGCAACTATAGCTCTTTTAGATTTCGTTTCTACAATTTTAGCATTTTTTTGAAAGCTGTAATAATTGGTTTATTGCCTTCTAAATCGTGATTGACTGCGCTTGCCCAGTTGAGAGTTGTGGTCAAATTCGTAGGTGATAACTTTGTTGTTATTGAGATTAATATGCTTTTAGATTTTTTTTTTTTTCAAGAACTGATACGCGGATAAGCAGTATGCTGACTGTGACTATTAGTTTTGATATCGAAGCATAAAACTTTTGAGAAACAGCTGCATGGTTACCTTGACCTAAGCCTGGCCAGTTGGCAGCTAGAGCTGCAAGTTGCTTATTTGAATAAAGTTATTATTACCAATGATTTACAAATATATATATATATATATATATATATATATATATATATATATATATATATATATATAAATATATATGTATATATATATATATATATATATATATATATATATATATATATATATATATATATATATATATATATATATATATATATATATATATATATATATATATATATATAGATAAATATATATATATATATATATGTATATATATATATATATATATATATATATATATATATATATATATATATATATATATATATATGTATATATATATATATGTATATATATATATATATACATATATATATATATATATATTTATATATATATATATATATATATATATATATATATATATATATATATATATATATATATATATATATATATATATATATATACATATATATATATATATATATATATATATATATATGTATATATATATATATATATATATATGTATATATATATATATATATATTAAGATGTATATATATATATATATATATATATATATATATATATATATATATATATATATATATATATATATATATATATATTTATGTATATATATATATATATATATATATATATATATATATATATATATATATATATATATATATATATACATTACTAATAAGTTACTAATAATTTTTTTTTTTTCATGATTAGATCACTCCATGACTTCCCTCAATGGGTCCAAAGGTCATTTTTTGC